CACCATCCCGGCGTGACGCACCCCCATAAACCCCACCCAGCCGGGGCCAGAGCAAAAAAAAAAAAAAAAAAAAAAACTGAGTTCTTAACAAAATGTCACATTGAACTGAAAGAGGAGGCTAAAATGATTTCTTCAAGAACTACAGTATCTTAGGTTTTACAGAGTGTGTCAAACCCAACACTTACTAAAGACAGCACCAGGGAGTGTGTCAGTTTTACTGCTAGTTTTGGTAGCAAGTAGAGATGTAACAATATGCTCAATTTGCAATATGATACATGATTTTTTTGTTTTTTTTTTGTTAACAATACAATAACCTGTGCCCACTGCCCAAGTCCAGAATTTGACATAAATGTAACACTGCTGTAATGCTTGAATGATAACAAGCCTAAAACACAAACCAGACACTAGGTGACAGCAACTCGTACATTGGTTTGTACAGATGAAAAATATACGTTATCAGTTTCTCAGTAGTATTTAGTTCCGCGGGGATGTAGGTCGGAAGGGGTGATGACAAAATGTCTGTCCACAAGGAGAACCACTGGCCTAGCCTAACACAAACGGCTGCATATATCAGTAACCAATGATATCGTAACAAGAAATGAAGTGTTTTGACCAAATCGGCGAAAAGTTAATATCGGACATCCCTAGTCATTAGGGGGTCAGAGGCCAAAAACGGTCGGGAAGCACTGCACTAGAAACTACATAAAAGCTCTATTCATATCTATATATAAATATGTCTTAAGAACCAAATGCTCCACTGCACTAGAAACTTACAATATTTTGATCTACAATAGTGAACCAGAACTACATAAAAGGTCTATTCATATCTATGTATAAATATGTCTTAAGAACCAAATGCTTCTGGAACATAGGGAACCACACCCAGTCTTGGTTCCTGCGTTTCAGCGAAAAAAAAAAAAAAAAGACATGCAAAAAAAGAACGAATGTTTTATTCAATTTGTCAAATATTCTTTTATTTCTTCAACATGTTTTAAAAGGCAGCATTGACCCTCTTGAACCTCTTTCTGCTCCACTCTACGGTAACCGTGTTCTGCTGTGGCTGAAATCCTTTCAAACAGAAAATGGAAATTTCCCTCAGCTATGACAAATCAAAGCTGCCGCCGTTTTTATTCTCCCTCCTTCTCCCTCTTTTGCTTTTGAAAAGAAGACTGAAGGACCACCAGGGCTGAAAACCCTTTCTGGTGTAATTGTAAAAAGAGCAGGTTCTGGAAGGGGAAGTGAAAATCAGTGTTAGAGGTTACGATACCGATGGTGACACGCCTGTTTGTAATCTCAGATTAGATCTCAGATTTAGATAAAGTCATCGTCTAATACCACAGATAAGTTCAGAGAGATAAGTTGTACTGATTCCTTCCTTTTTACAGAGCTGTGTAATGTTCACTCGCATTAATGTTAGTGTTGAAAGAAGTGAGTCCCACAGTCTTTTAATAGAATCTGCAGACAGAACAGCTTTGTTATAAAATCACTCAACAGATTTTTTTTTATAGATTTGCAATGTATTAAAATGCTAAAATCTTTATTATTTTCTACGCCACCTATTTGCGAAATGTGGGTATTGCAGGGAAAAGGCAGAAGTATAATAAGATAAATAATATAGATAAATTATGTAAT